ACAACTGTAGTTGCATCTATATTATTTCTTATTTATGGATAATATTTTTGTTTTGCAATGAATGTAGATACACTCCCCTGCACGGATTATAATAATGTGATTGAACTATAGTAAATAAAATAATTATCATTGAAATGAGTGCAATAATATCTTATTATGTATTTAAACTTGATACGTGATAATTAGGCGTCTATTCCTATAATGTTATACACACACACGGTAGATTTCTAATTGCGGTCTTGCGGGATATTCGCATAAAATATATTTTTTACATTGTAAAATTAAAATCGTTTGTTTTTTTATAGTTTATCTTTTCTTTTATATTTAAAAAAGATCGTTGATTTTTTTTATAAATTTATATATTTTAATAAATCAAGATGTTATTTTATTTTTAAAAATATTTATCGACTTTGCATTTATATAAACTAATTATAAAAAGTAATAGGCGGATAATCAAGAATTGGCCCGCAAAAATTTTTATTTTAACAATTTTATATTTCTACCGCAATTTTCATATTTATCCCGCAAAATACTAAATTTCTCCCGCAATTTGGAAATTTTGACCTGGCAACCCTGAAGATAATTGTTAATCGAGATTGACTTTTTAAATTTTGTTTAACTGAAATTGTTTTTATTAGCCTTTAACTATGTATTTCGTTTAAATTGTTTTTTTATAATACATATATATATACCTTATTTTATATTTATTTTTAGCATCATTTTTAGTTTTAGAATAAATTTATTATAAATAAAAAACACCACCGTTATCTTTCACCACCGTTATCTCTCCGCTTTGTATGATAACTTACGCACAATGATATATTAAAAAATCTCATATATATTGTGCATATGCCGATAAATATAAAAAATAAAAAAAAATTTTCTTGGAATTATGTAATAAATTATAAAAATTATTCGATATAAAGGACACACACAAAGTAAAAAAAAATTTATATGACTTTACAACGACAATATATATCTTTATGCTAAAATAAAGTTTTAAAATAAAAATTTGCAATTTGGATAAAAGAAAATTGAATACATAATAGTGACAATATTTATCTTTGCTAATTTAAATAAAGTTTTAAAATAAAAATTTGCAATTTGGATAAAAAAAAAATTGATTACATAATAGTGACAATATTTATCTTTGCTAATTTAAATAAAGTTGTAAAATAAAAATCTGCATTATGGATGATAAAATTAGCATATCCTCCAACAGGGAAGTTAAGTTCCCAAAGTTGGAGGGATGCTTGACGGACATATATTTGGAGAGACTTGACGATTATTTCTCTCAAACAATTTTATCCGACTCAGTAAAAATTGAAACATTTATGAGCAATTTATCTGATGACCTATACGATAAAATTAAGTCATTATATGTACTAAGGAAGATATCAAAGATTATAAAATTATTATTAAAAAATTAAAATTTTTATTACCCAGTCAAGATGTTTGGATATTGACTGGGAAGTTTAACCCTGATTCACAAGGTGTTATTGAATCTTTTTTGGATTGGTTTTTTAGACTGTCTAAATTAAGTAGACAATGTAATTTTATTAATGATGATCGCATAAAAGAAAAATTGTGAACATCTAGTTTAAATGACAATATAAAAAATAAATTAAATAAAAATATTAACTACACATTAATTGATTGAAATAGGAAGAAAATTAGATAGTATTAACATTAAATCAGAAAGTGACAATGTTAAATATGTTTTTAGTAGGGATAAAAAAATAATGATAATAATAGAAATAATGATAAGAATTTAGATATCCAAAGTACTTCTAATAGGAATGAGATTAATAGTAACTATAATAGACCTAATTATTATTTGAGGCAAAATTTTGACAGTAGGAATAGAAATTATGGTGATAACAATTTTAGTAATGTTAACGACATCAGGAATAGGAATTTTAGTAACGTTAGAAACAATAACAATTATAATAATAACAACTAAGAAATAATCAGTATAATGATAGTAACTATCAAAATTACAATTATCGGTATAACAATGGCAACAGAAACTTTCATAATAATAATCATCAATCTTATAACAACAACTATGGTAGGAACAAAAACTATGGTAGGAACAACAACTATGGTAGGAACAACGCCTGGTTTAATTATAATCGGAAGAGGCAGATTCAATGTGACGATCAAAATCATAATAACTACCGATCTTATAACAACAATCAAGTCAACAGGTGGCATAATATGGATAACCAAAGAAAACAAATCGAATATGACGATTATAATCGGTGGAAGGATTTTAATCAAAGAAAACAAATCCAGTATGATAATCAAAACTTCTACGTAGCAATAATTGTAATATGAACATTGAAGAAATTGGGGAAAATAAAGTTGGCACTGCCAAAGATATTAATTAGAATGATTTCAATGTCAACAACCTGGCTGAAAATACAGACAAAGGTGATGACAGTGCTTTTATGACTACTTTGAAATTAAATAATGTTACTACTACTATGCAGGTTGACACTGGATCAAAGTATACCATCATACCTCATGATATGGCTAAAAAAATTGGTATAAGAGAAATGAAGAAATCCAGTTTGCGGCTTACAGTCTACGACGGAAACTTAATTAAAATCATCGGGACAACTCAAGTTAAAGTAAGTTATGAAGGAATCACTAAATATTTACTAGCAGTAGTTGTAGAGTCAAGAAAGAACGCATTATTAGGAAGAATCTGAATCAATGCCTTTAAAAATATTTTAAATAAATTCATAGGAATGTCGACACCAATTATGAAGACGAAATCAATAAACTTATTAAAGATTGTGAATCCAAATTTACTAGTGAACCAATTAACAAAGTAAATGTCAAATTACATTTAAGATGTGACGCCCAACTTAAAATAATACCACCAAGACGTATACGTATTCAAAGATTGATCTTGTGGGCGAAGAACTGAATAGATGGATACACGAAAAAATTATTGAGTCTGTAAATGATGTGCGATGGGCGAGTCCTCTAACCGCCGTATACAAATATGATGGGAGCATCAAGCTTTGAGCAGATTTTAAAGACAAACCCAGCTCTCGAAGACTTTAGATACCCACTTCCACGTATAAATGATCTTATAGCTAAACTTTCAGAAGGAAAAAAAAATACCAAAATCGATTTCAAAAATGCTTTTCTACAAGTTCCGAAAGATAAAAATGGCAAAATTTTTTTGACTATATCTTCACATAAAGGATACTACCAATTTACCAGACTTCCTTTTGGGTTGAAAACTTTATCTGCTATATTCCAACAAATCATGGATCAGATTTTCGGTGATATGAAAGATGTCATATTTTATATTGATGACTTATTAATAACTGGAAATAACGATGAAGCACATTTAAACAACATCAAAAAGGTCTTTGAGAGAATATTATCGTTACGGTTAGTACCTAACTTCTCCAAAAGTTTAATTTTTAAAAACAAAGTTAGCTTCCTGGGTCACGATATAGATGACAAGGGGATTCATGCATACCACGACTCTCCTAAGAAGGACGGAAGTGTGGACAAAAATATTAAAACTAATGATAAAAATATTGTAATATCGACTCCTAGACCGATACGAAGTAGACAAAAAACTGTTTATCTAAAAGATTATATAACTTAGAATATTAAAACATGTAAAAATAAATTAAATACTAAAACACGAAAAATTAAATTAAATACTAAAACGCAAAAAAATAAATTGGAAAACGAAAAATAAAAATAAAAATGCTAAAAAAATAAAAACGCTAAAAATATTATCTAACAATCTTGTTGATTTATTATCCTTTTATTATTCTAACATCCAAATTTGATCAATTCTCTTATTATATATCCTAACATCCTATTTGATAATAATAATGATAATAACAATTTCAAAAAATTGATAATAATAACCATTGAGATATGAAGCTTACGATTTAAACAAGCCAACGATTAAAACGACAGATGCAACAACTTGGCAATCAAAATGATAAATTATTTGGACGACAAGCTTGCTATGCCAGTTCAGATGGACTACGGGAAGGCTTTTCAGAAGGGGAATGTTAATCGAGATTGACTTTTTAAATTTTGTTTAACTTAAATTGTTTTTATTTTAAACATGTTAGCCTTTAACTATGTATTTCGTTTAAATTGTTTGTTTATATATTTAATATTTATTTTTAGTATCATTTTTAGTTTTAGAATAAATTTATTATAAATAAAAATTACACCGTTATTTCTATCACCACCGTTATCTCTATATAACAATAATAATATTTAAAAATAAATATACAGTTGTTTAGTCATTTTGAACTCAGCTAATTACAATATAAAATTTGTTAATTTTCAAATAATATATGATTATATTTATATAATTAGGGTTATATAATAATTTAAATAATAAAAGTTAATTAAGTTTCAACTGTTAATGCTAATTTAATATTTAGTGAGTGATATTGATATATTTTTAACACAGAATTTGATCGCAAGCTGACATAGTGAAAATATAATTTATATGTATTAATCTAATCTAATAATTAAAATAGTATTCATTTATTAAAAATTTAGATATTATTAATTATTAAATAATATAATTAAACCTATATATTACTCAATAGAATAAAAGAAATTGTTCAGGGAGCAATTAAAAAAATTTATTTTTAGTTCAAGGGGATATCAAGGAATCATTAAAAAAAAATTTTTTGCTTCAGGGGGCTATTCAAATTTTTCAGGGGGCTCGAGCCCCTGTGCGCTCCCTAGCGACTCCACTGGTTTTCGGGTATAGACATTTTTTGCCCAATTTGTTCTTAGATAGACCTTTAAGTAATAGTTTTAGGTATGTCATACTAACAAGTATGTGTTGCTTGCCCTAAAACGTGTAGAGGGTTGCTCATTTTTTATCTTCACCTAGATTGATTTATTTCCAGTTAGATGAAATAGGAATCTAATTCTGTTGTTATAGTCAGAGAGCAGAGGTCTTTAATTCACGGATAACGTAATTTATTTATATTGAAAAATGCACTTCGGACGCGCTTTATCACTAACTTACATTTTACTATGATTGATCAAACTATGGAAATAAAGTCTCTCAAAGATGAATTGAGAATTATTCTTCAAACTGAAGCAAGGTTAAATTGATTAGTTATCTCTTTTTACTTATATCATATTATATAGAGTTGAATACCATCCAGAATTTATGGAGAAATGCAAAATATATATAGAATATGAAATGAAAAATCAAGATGAATATTATCTAGATCTTAATTTAGCAATTCTAAAATTGTATATACAATGGCATCCTATACATTGCTAATTTAATTTTTATTGTTTTAAGGTATCAATTATTCCCTTCATATAGTGACCCTATGATAGCTTCCTGTATTTTGTTGAAGGCACTTATGAAAATTCCTAAAAATGATTTTTTGTTATGCAAATATTTACTTACAGAAGACTTAGTAATAATAGAATTATTTCCAATCGTTTAATAAATATTAGATTCTAAATGAAAATATTGAAACAATCCTAAAATTAAATAATTATTTAGGAAATGCTGATTATGTAAAATTTTGGGTAGATATATTTGCATTTTATATGTATATTTAAAAAATAAATATAGGAATTATTAAATGTAAAAAGTACCCTAATCAAAGGCATTCATGAATTTGAGAATACCATAAGATTTTGTAATATACTTATATATATTTTAATATAATATATTAATAATAAATTCCTAAATGAATAGTAAAAAAAGTGGATCATTTTATAAATGCAGGGCCCAATAATTTTTTGGAGTTACAGATCTTTAAATTTTATTGATTAATAATGAAATGACCTTTTGCATTTTTTGCATAAAATTAACAAATTTCCATTTAATTTAGTTGATTTTGTTAAAGTTTTTATGAATTTCCACAAAATCTACAGAAAATAATGTAATTCTAATATCAATTTATCCAGTTCAATGTCAAATGATTAGGATTGCACTGATTTTTTGCCAATATTAAAATGGTCTAGTTATAAATGTGTATATTTGAAATTGGCTCTCATGATTGACATATAATTTTACATAACCTAATCATCTTTATTGTTAGCACATAAAATATCAAACAAAAATATTTTAACCCACTATTGAGAGAAATATCAATAGAGGATATAATTTTTTTTTAAAATTAATAAACTAAAAATAATTTTAAAAAAAAATTTTAAACCGTAAAAAAATTTCAGTTTGTATATTTAAATACACAATGCATGTAAAAAGTACCACATTTTTTCAATTTCAAACCTTTTACAAAATAAAGACATATAAATTTATTATTTGATAACTAATGTAATAAAACAAATTTATATTAATTTTTATATAATTTAAAACAATCGTTTTTTGTAGTAAAACATAATGATACACCTATTTGGTATAAATCACTTTTGTAACCAATTTACACCCAGGGTTTTTGCATCAAGCTTTTTTACTATATTTTGGCCAATGTACTATTAAACCCTGTCTTATTTCTTTCTGCATAATAAGACTTGTTGATCCCTTGCTAGATTTTTCTTTTTATTTGGTGTCAATTGATATTCGTTTTTTACACTAGCATTCATATTTTTGTTACATTTAAAGAGTATTTGCTATTGAAATTTTAAATGTTAATAATGGCATCTGTTCTTTTACCGGTACCTTTAAAGCTACAAAATCTTGCCTATACATTAACCAAGATTTATGAGCATCATATCAAGTATATGGAACACTATAGTGATACCATTTAGGTGATCTTATGTGAATCCAGCTCCATCTTTTAGGATTCTTTTTCAGTTGGAAACTGACTGTTATATTGTATTAGCTCTTACAGAAGCTATACTTCCTTTTGGGTGATTAATACCTGAAGTTCTATACCACAGAACTTATTATCAAAACACAATTTAAAATTGGAATGTAGTGGTACCAATAGGTAAAAAACCTTTTCTTCTAGAATCAACATCTGCTGATCTTGAATCAAGAATTTCCTCATCTGATGAACCACTAAGGTTAGAATCAGAACTATCTTCTGGAATATAGTACATTTTAACTATAGATAGCAAATAAAGAAGATTTAATAATATAAAATAAATATTCAAAAAAGCCTAAATTCATATTGCATTTGTGTGCATTATGTATCTGGGTACATGTACCTTAAAATTTAAATTTTAAACACTATTAATGAATATAACAATCTATTTATATATAAAACATTTTTCTTACCTTTATTTAATAAGGTTTTTAACTTCCTGTTCCTTAAAAATCAGAGAAATGACATAATTTATAAAATGGAAAAAATGCAACTATTCGAAAGTTTAAACTATGTATTTTAGAATTTTCATATTAATAGCTGTCTTTTATTTTTGGTAAAATTAACTATAGAAATAAATAAAATATATGTATATCTATTATACATCATGTGTATTAAACTGTAAGTGATTTTATATTAAAATTTATACCTTTTTTTATATTATGTGTATTCAAATATGATGTACGCAATAGAGGGTTAAAGAGGAGTTGGTAATGACAAATAAAATCATCCTATGTTTTGGATTGGCAAAACCTATTCAATTTGAAACAAATATTAAATTGTTATTTTCTAAATCCTTTTCTTAAATAATGGCCCACTTTGAGGCCCTATATCTCTAGTTTTTATAGAGTTATTAATATTTTGGATTCATCAATTGTTATTCATTAACTTAAATATCAAATTTTAACAAAATCTGAGAAGATCGGGTTGTAAAGTTATTGATGGAATTATTTCAATATTGACAAAATCAGTACATTCTTATAAATAATATAACTATGAAATTTTTATTCTTTAAACTTAAAACTAGCAACATTTTTATCAAATAACATAATTATATCAAAATTTATCAGAAATGAAAAACTTTATCAAATGCATATCTATCAGATAATGGCAAATTAATCCACTATTTTGTTACAGAAAAATCATCTATATTTGCAGAAATAGAAATAACAATTTATAATCAATTTTAATTAGATTAAAAATATTATTGAATTTCTTTCAGATTACTATAATTCAACCATCTCATGAAAACTTACTTTAAAAACACATCCAATATATGATATCATCAATAATAATTTAAGACCTGCAGAAATCTTTTTGTATGGCCTTAATTTTTTTCTCATTTTTAAACTTGTAAGATCAGCCCAGATTTTAAATTTTTGTTATATATAGAATTTTGTCTATACCATATAAACAAAATTAAAAGGAAATAGAAAATATGATGAGGTAGGAGTTTTTTTAGAAATATATTTTTAGACCTAGCATAGGGTGTAATTTTTTTACCCAGATTTTTAAATTATACCTTATTCAGCTATAAGTTAAATTTTAATTGTTTATTTATCTGTTTATATCAAGTCATTCTTGGGAACATAGCTTCAACTTTTAAAAATGTGAAAAGGAATTATGTGTTAGAGCAAGTCAATATGAAAGATAATGGTATCCTTTATTAATAATTTATAGTTAATTTGGTATATGGTTCAATAAATTTACCTATATATTTACTAATAATTCAATTAAATCAATAATGAATACTTAATGGTAACCTTTGTTAACCGCTGAGAAATGCACCCTTACACACACACACGTTTGTTAAAAAGCCTGATTTAGGTCAATTTTTGAAAACTACACAATTAAGATTTTAGCCAAAATAATATTATATAAGCCTCGCGATTTGACAAATTGAGGTCCAAGCCTTTCTGCCAACTTTGCGCAAAATCTACAGGCTTATTTAATATTATTTTGGCTAAATTCTTGATTGGGTCGTTTTTAAAAATAGACCCGAATTGGGCTTTTTAACAACAACACCAGTCTGTATTTATATATTTCTTTTTAGCTTGTAATAATATATCATAAATATTTTTCTAATTATTGTAAGATCCATCATTTGATAGGCTGATTTACAACATGGGGTGGAAACAAGAGTTCGATGATATCATCATGGATTCAACCAGAATTTCTTTGCTAAAAAACAAGAATATCGGAGAGAAATTTGATATTGACAGTAAGAAATCTGAATTGAATAAAAATTCCCTTTCCTTGTTATTTTTTATTAATGGCTGCTTCATCATTAAAGTTGTAAAAAATATTCTAGGCTCGGTTGGATTTGAAAAAAAATTTTTTAATAAGCCCTCCCGGATTTTCAATTTTTAAAAAAATGTTAACTCGAGAATTTTAATTATTTTCACATTTTTAAGCTGGTTCCGATTTTTAAAATCATTCCATTTTTGGTCAATTTCCAGGCTTGCATTGAAAAAAAACAAATTTTCAAATAAAAAAACATGCTCAATCCCAATCATTATGTTAAAAATACTGCTTCCGGTTTCTATAGTGTGGTTAACCCGTTCTATTTTAATCTATTTTTTTAAGAACGGCTAACTCAATTTATCCAAAAAGAATGGCACAAAGGGATAGGTATCTATAAGCGAAATCTCAAGGAGGCAATATTTTTCTGGTTAAAATATTAAGTTACCCGTTTTTAAAAGTCCTTATAAATCGAGTTAGTTAACAACACTAGGTTTTTATATTTTCTAATAAAAATAATATAAAGCTACTCAAAACATTTATATAATAATTTATCAAATTGATTTTTTTTGCATAATGGAATATTTTTTAAAAAACTTTGGGTAGATCGTAGATGCATATCGGTCGCCATTTAGAAAATAGGGAACGGAAGAGTAACCCTTTCCATGAATATATGTAATTAAATTAAAAATTCCCGCATTCAAATATTCTGGCCTGGGAACTAGTGATCTGCATCGGAAATAATTTTTTAAGACCTGTATGCAGGGATCCAAACCGAAACAAATTTCTCGATTCAGGTCAGGTTCGGATAAAAATAACGGTTCAGGTTCGGTTTGCAAAAGATAAAAATATCGGTTCGGTTTGAACCTCTAAAAATTTGAACACTTTTGTATTCAAACCTACATTCGAATTATGTATAGGGATTTTTTTTATTTCATAATTAAAATAAAAAACACATACATAAATCCTTCATTTTTATTAATTGCACATTATAAAAGAATGTTTAATTTATAAATATATTATAAATATAAATATCATTAATTAATTTTAATATGAACATTTACTTAAAATTTATTAAGCCGCAATTAATATATTTTCAAAATTCGTCTAATTACATCTATAATGAGATAATATAAATTTAATTGTTGAAAAACATCTTTCCACACTACTTGGGTAGCCTGCACTGCCAGTATGATATCAGATTTGATGTGTCATTATTAATATGATGGATTTAATTTTTCACTACTTATTATAATTTATAAGCTTAAAATTTAAAAAATGTTGTGAAATGGCAATATATTAAAGTTTATAAAAATTATGACTTACACTTATCAATTAAATGTGATTGATAATAATCTTTAAAACATTTCGAATATAATAAAAATTTTTGCAATACTAATAATAACTTACACATTATTTTATAAGCATAAAATTATGAGACTCGAACCGGTTCAGAGGCATTTTAGCGGTTCGGTTCAGGTTCGGCTATAAACTTTTTTAGAGGTTTAGGTTCGATAAAAAAATACCGGGTTTTCTCGGTTAAATGGTTCGGTTTGGATCCCTGCCTGTTTGGCTCTAATTTTTTTTTTTCAAAAATTTATTTGACCCGATCTCGAAATTTTTTATTGTCCCAAAATGCCCGACCCGAAATTATTTTTAAAACCCGATGCCCATGTTTGCAGATCTCTACTGGAAACCTTATCCTTGAGACTTAGATATGGAATTTTAATTAAAGTTATTTTTTGTTTTAATCTTTAAATTAGTTCATTTGATTATTCAATGAATGTCTTTTGATTATTTCTTTGCTAAATCTCAATTATTGAACTCTAATTGTTAATATATTATGGCTTATTTAAATTAATAACGAAAATTTTTGATATTCATTAAAATTCGAAGGTTTAGTTTTACTTTTGGAGAATTGTAAAAAAGAAAATTTTATTTTTTAATTTTTTTTTTGAAATGAACTGGGTCACCGTTTTTCCTTAAAATTATCAAAATGCTTAAATAATCAACATTCAATATATGATTTTTTCTTATTATTTAAAAAATATTAAAGCTATCAAGAAACTTATGCCTGCTCTTAAAACTGTCTGAATTTTGGTTGAAGAAATTCTAATTAATTCAATTATTATAATTGTATATTTTTGTTAATGAATATTAATAAAATAGGAATTGTTCGAGAATGAGTATTATCAATCATAATTAGCAGTGATAATAAAAAAGATTAAACTTATTTAATTTTTATTTCTTATTAAAATAATTTGTTTTAATTTTATATATAAAAATTTATGGTATGTTGTGCCAAAATAATTAATTTAAAATTGTAAGAAAAAATGTAACTTGATACATTAGCATTTAAACGATAGTTTAATATATCGTTTTATTTTCATTAATCCTTTGAAATTGAGCTATTTTGCATATTTAAAACGTTACCTTAACTCTTTAGTGGTAAGGTGAAAAAATAGCACAAGCTATGAGGTGAGCCGAAAATTCTTTATTTCTAAATTTATATCTAGACCTATGCACCCATGAAACTATCGACTGCTTGCACACTGTTCAAAAATAAAATCGAGTCATATAAAGAAACTAACACCTACATTTTTCATATATTTTCTTTAAGGTGAAATAATCTCGGATCCTTCATTTCATAATAAATAGATTTCTATCTTGCTCCTAAAAAATAATGCAAAATTCAAGGTAGACCCTTTTTTATGTTGTAAGAAATTCAATTGTTTCTTTAAATTTTGGAAGGCTCCTCTATGAGATCCGATTCGTAGCTTGAACGTTTAAGATAATGTTTTCCAATTCCTTATAAATACAAAAACATCATTAATCGGATTTTTAGTAGCTCCAGAAATGTTTCCGAACATAATTAATATACTATGCCTAGGTTGTGTTATGACATTTAATAATATTTTCATTTCAGTGCTACTGTGTATTTTATAATTGGAATCGCCAATAAAAAAAATATATAAGCCTTTTTTGGTTCTTAAATATTTTTAAAAAATTGAAATATTTTGCGCGCCATTGTTATAAAAATCAACCACACGCCAACGTGATTTCAACCAAATTCCCTCTTTTTAAAAATTAAATAAGTGTAAATAAAATATTATAGTAATAGAATTTAACATTCTTTTACAGCGATAAACGCAAAACAGGAATAATTAGTAAATTATTATCAAATTCGATTATATTTAAGTTCTAACACAGTTACAATTTAAATAATGCGCCTTATATTTTTTACAATAATCCATTCAGTCTTATAAAAAAATATAATATTATATATCGAAAAAATATTACAAATAAAATATGCATTATGTTATCTGACAATTTAATATTTATAATTCGCTTACCTAATTAAGGGAGGACAGATTTGTTTATAAACTATTGAAAAGATATTCGATCGCAAAAACAAGTATTAACAAGTTTATTCTTTGATTTAAAAAATGCCGAAAATATTTGCTACAAACCGATTCTACAAATTATATTAAAAAATATTATTTATTTTAATTCCTTTTAGTGAAACGTAATAATCTGAGTAATGCATCGGGTGTCATACCAGGTATCTTGTTTGCGGCAGCTATATTCGAAGGTTTATAAAGATTGAGCTTTTCCTTTATTTCGTTGGATAGGCTTAAGTAAGGACTTTATTGTATGGGGGGGGGGGGTAGGCAAGTCATATATTAAATATTTTTGATCAAGTAATTTGGTATAATATATAATTGTGATAAACTGGTTCAAAAACTTAGCTATATAATTTAAAACGTTAAGAGCCAAGATTCAAAAGTATTATAGCTGACTGGGTAGTCATCATATTTATACCTCTCTCACTAATCAATTTAACATTTATGTATTTTACTAAGCAAATAAAATTTCAGATAAATTGACAATAGTCTAAAATCCTAGGGATTAATTCTAGGCCACGCTGAAAACCTTCCTTACAAATATTTTACATGAGATAAATGTGCGATGGCCAAAAATGATGTGATAACGAGATTTACAATGAATTTATCACACATTGGTTAACGCGATTTTATAAAAATATGGAATTTTTTAAAAAAAATTAGTTAATAGATTTGGGGAGGGCTTAAAACAAATTATGCAGGGGGAAAGCTATGAGATTTTGGCTAGTATAAGTGACAATATTGTAGGCTATTGTTACGGAATGCCGGTGTTGGTAAATAGCCCATATATATTGTTTTTTTATTTTTAAAAGCAGCTAACCCAATATTTTAGTCAAAACTATTACCCAATCCTAGAGATTTTGCATATAGAAGGTAGAAAGGTTTGGACATCTATTAATGAAAACTTGAGGATTGCGTAATATATTTTGGCTAGAATATTGGGTTAGCCGTGTTTAAAAATCGAAACGTTTAACAAATACACATATGTCGTATTCAGATATCTAATCCATGGGGATTTGGAAACTCAATTTATTTACTGAAAGTGATTTTTAAATTTGGAAAATATGACTTCACCCGAAATATAATCCAGCATATCTAGATACTAACTACCTTACAAATTTCAGACAATTTCCGGTGTATCTTTCAATTTAAATTATGGTTCCTTTTTGGAGGACAATTATGAAATTGTATTTTGATTTTAATGGTGTTTTAAATATATAAAAATCTATATGAAAGAATCTATCATAAAAAGGGATATAAGTTAAAGGTATTTTAACATTTCTAGACAAAATTGGCTGAAATTCAAGTACTCTGTCTGTACATGTTAAAATGCTCTCAAAGTAAAATCAGATTCTTAAGATTTAAAAATTGCTCTCAGTAAATGATTTTAAATAATGAATTCCATATACTATTACGACATATACACTATTTTTATTGAAGCTAACCCTACCCCATATATGTATTATATGTAGTAAAGAAAAATGTGAAAAGGAATTTATTACAAGTATTACAATTCATTCCAAATGATATTTTATTATTGGTTATCAGATCATTTTTCCTATTTTATATTATATTAAGCTATACATAACATTCTAAATTGTTTATCTATTATCTATTTTAATAAAAAAATCATTTATAATAAAGTTATATTTTTAAGTTAATGGATTATATTATAAAAACAAAAGTCATATGTTATAAAAAAAGAAATAATAAAAAATCATTCATTAAAGTTAATGGATAAAGTAAAAGTTATGTAAATGTTTCAAAGAATACAAATTTTAGAACTTAAATATAAAATATGTTGAAGATTTAAAAAGAACAAATCACTTCAATATAAGGAAATCAAGCAGATTATAAAAGACATATGTTAGTGGCGTCACTAGGGGGGGGGGCAGGGGCTCGAGTTCCTTGAAAAATTTGAATGGCCCCCTGAAGCAAAAAAATTTTTTTAATGGAATCTTAACCTTTTGAATTAAAAATAAATTTTATTGCGATTTCTTTTATAATTCTATTAAGTAATATATTGATTTAATTTTATTATTTAAAAATTAATAAAACTGTCTAAATATTTATTAAATGAATACTATTTTAAATATTAGATTAGAATACATATAAATTATATTTTCACTATGTCAGCTTGCAATCAAATTTTGTGTTAATAATAGAATATCACTCACTAAATATTAATTTAACATTAACAGTTGAAGCTTAATTGACTATTATTATTTATATTATTATATAACCCTAATTATATAATTATAATCATTTATAATTGAAAACTAAAAAATTTAATATTGTAATTGCTGAGTTTAAAATGACTAATCAACTATATTTATTTTTAAATTTTATTATCATACCTATTCCTAAAAATATTTTCAAGGTCCAAATAAGTATAAGAGATTTCTTTATAAAAAGTAAGTAATTAGACATATAGTTTATAATGCTCTATTATATACAGTTGTTTATAAAATATTAGATAAAATCCACTTTTAACAGTTATATAATATATTACAGTTAATATTATAATGAATTTTATATAAATACTTTTGATAATAAATATAGTAACAATTTGCATTTAAGTATTTAACGCCATCTATTTAATTATAAATAATTTTAATAATTAAACATTTTATTATTCATTCTACAATAGATGTAATAAATTTGATATTTTTTTTTCTTTTTTTACGTGTTTTTAGGAAAGTAATTTTTTTCTTTTTAGAAAAACAGTTTTGAGTTAAATTTTTATATATTTTTGATATTATTACAAACTACTATTATTTTAAGATATAATATACCAATTAGAGGTGGTGCAACAATATATAAAATCTTAATTGTTTCATCATATCATTCTGGTCCTTATTTTATAGTTAGAAAATATTTCATTTCTAATATGGCATCCTTGCCGAGTAAATAACTCCAGGCTTCAATATATTTGCATAATTATTTCTTCCAAAGATTTTTAGTGTTTTTATTTTATCAATATCCAACATATTAAATTCTGATATTAGTTTACATCGTGAGTGTCATGGCTATTACTGCAAATTAACCAGCATAAATTATTTGCGTTTCTATGTAATTTAAGATTATTACTACAGCTGCTGAAAGCATATGATAACATATTTTAGATAATCATGGTCAATGTGTAGTCGTTTAAATATCATTTAAAATGGAAGATAATCTTTTAGAAATTTAATATCTCACAATAATTTTTTCGCTTACTTATCTAGCTCTTATCATGTCACCTAAAAGAAAGCTCTAACCACCATATAGTTTTATGATTTGGATTGGTCGTTTATATTCTCTTCTTCAAGAATTGTTGATTTGGTTTAGGTCTATAAATTTTGCTTTATTAGTCCATTCTATAAAACTTTGTCTAAAATGGTAACAGATAGTTTCATGTCAATGTAAGTTGCTAAGAATTATATTGCCTTATATTGTTTTAAAAACCATTATCAATTGAGGCATTTGTATGAATTAATTAACCTTTTTTATCACTTGTAATTCTTTAGATGCAATTTTTTATATCAGCAATCGAAAATATTTTTTACTGTAATAAATAGATTTTGTATTAAAAAATATTATTTTTAGAAATTTCTCATATTGTTTAAGTTAATTTTTCCATAATATAATAAACGACAAAATATGAAATTCAGAATAATTGTTGAGAGTTAGCAAATTTAAAAAAGTATAATAAATTAATATAAACCCCTGGGGGGCGAAGCCGCCCATAATTATTTTTTAGTTGAGCCCCCTGAGATTGTAAAGGCTAGCGACGCCCCTGACATATATCTTAAAACGAATTTTAAAAAAATTGTGAAATTTAGCATTATATTTTAAAAAAGCAAAACACTAGCCAAAGTCAGGTCTTCGCTTATATCGAGTATATACCAACACTTGACCAATTTAAAAATATCATTATAGCATGGAACTATTTACCGAAATGGTGTTCCGTAGACAATAATCATATTTAATACTATCTATAATTTATTTATTAAAATATCTATATAATTCTCCTTACTCTTCATAATCTATGTTCGGAGAGAAAATAATATTTTCGTCTCGTTTCAAGGCCATTATATCCTCGTGTTCTTCTTTCAAAAATCGGTCGTAGGTAGCTTTCGTAAAGAAGAAAAATATTTTTTAAGCATATGGTTGATGCCAAATAAAATAATTAATATTCCAAAAAACTACCATTCAATAATCTCAATGTAATATTCCTAAAAATGTAAAACTTACATTATAATCTCAGTGTATCTTTTTCGTGACATTAGCTTATCACATTGATGATTCATTCATAAAATGCATTAAAAATGTCCATACATAGGAGTCAGCTGTAGCGCTAATTTGTAGCACGTCGATTAAATGTATTAATGTGCATTCATATATTAATAAGTAAAGACAATTGTTGGAAGCGCAAACCACAAAATGGCGCTACAGTTCACTCCTATGTATGGACACTTTTAATTAACGAATAGCCAATAGTAGTATATATTTACATCATTGCATTAGCCACTGGAAGGCTTTAAATATAAAGTTTTTTATAAAGTAACATCCTTAATTTTTAAAATCCGAAACTTAAAAAAAAATTACCTTCTATTTTGCATCTCACTGCAACGGTGTTAATGTTTAGTGGTTCTCGAATAAACTTTTGATAGCCTTTCTCGGGAAAATATCTTGACAAATTTTGCAATGTAACCTCTCGAGCTGATAGCAAGTCAAAAAAACTTCGGGTAAATGATGTTTGATAATGATAAATAGTATATAAATCAGACCTGTAAATGTCAAAATTTTAAGCTCGGCCCGATTAAAATTTTTATTATAAGGACCGGCCCCAGAATTTTTAAAATTTTTGTTATTCTGATTAATTTTGGCCTATTATATAATTGTTTCAATGAGAAACTGAAAAACAGTAAAAAAATGTTTAAAAAAAATATGAATTATAAGATTTTCCACGTGATTTTAGTTGATTTATACGATTTTCCGTTTGATTTTAGTTAATATAATTTAAATTTCTTTTTAAAAAAATCGCCCCGAAAAGATATTTATAGACCTGGCAAAGGTTTGTAATTTCAAACCCCAGGATACGGCGGAACATTCCGGGGAGAGGGAGTGCCTTCAGGCCTCTAAAATTGATTGGAGATAATATATACTTAAAAATTATACCCTTTATCAAAACCTATTTATTTAAATTTTGTATATAGTGACCGAATCGTTAATATTACCTTTTTAACGGTAATTTTTCTTTATCTGTTATATTTTTTTCGTAAGCACGTTTAATTCTTTAAATATTTTTTTTCAAGACTTTAACGGATCATGATATAGTATATTGAGGATATCATTGTGCGACTAGTTGTAAGATAACTTATCAATGTTTTTAGTCATATATAAATAATGCTATATATTTTAACGATGATACACATTGTTCAATTAAAAAATTATGCTATATCTAATACAAAATAATCTTTAATTCGGTTAAATGAGTTATAAAATCATGCAGTTTCGTTTAGTTGGTATGAAAAATTTCGCAAATATTTGCCGATTTTAATATTTTTCTAAATTCTGATCTCTTTTTATTTTAAGTTATAAATTATATATGGTCCGAGACTATCTTAAATATATTTTTTTTTGGTTTTTTATAATCAAGATTTGATCGGTGGCATAAGAAAATACATTTACCAAAACAATATGAAGTTAAATGCTAAAAAATTATAATGTAATGTTTGAAACCTTCTAGGTTTACGCATTTTCCCATAGTCTTCATTTGAAATGGAAGCTAAAAAAGAATTAGCATCCTGAGGAGATATTATGTCAGATTTTAAGCGTTGTTTAGCTTCTTCTAATTCTGATTGAATGAATTGGAATCGTTTCATCCGATCTTGACTAACGCAGCCCAAATGATACCCTTTTGCAAGCCAACGAATATCCCGATTTAAGCAATCATTATACAATATCTACAACCCCTCCCTCTCCCATCTCCTTTCTTCATTCTCCCCTAATATTTATCAATTATTTGAGTATCCGCATTATCCAGCCCGATTAACATTATATATTACTTTATATAAATTATAATTTAAAAATTTCTCAGCTATTTAAATTTAAAGCAAACCTTTGGCTGTTAATCGCGCATCGGCATTATCCGGTCTGAGTAACATCCTATATTCAACTCTCGTGGTAAACATTCTGTATGGCTCAGGGGCTCCTAGTGTCACCAAATCATTTATCAAAACTCCTATATAGCCATCTGTTCTTGCCATACTCCAATAGTCTAATTTATCGACATTTTCATGATGTGTGACGTCATCTGTGGGAGATTTGGATTGAAGTAGTTTACAATGAATAGAAGCGTTGATACCTGCCATAATACCCTTGTTTTAAAAAAAATTATATTTTTTTAAAGTTGTTATTTAAATCTTAACTCTTAAAAAATTAATAAATATAACGAAATGGCTGGAAATTAATCTAAATTGTCATGAAAAGAAAAAAATTAATTTGCATAGACTAACGTACATTGACACTAAGTGCGTCGAAATCGACATTTTTATTAATGATGCCATTATAGTGTTCAATTAATATACATCGGCACCATTATTTTTTTATGCATTTATCTTTTTAATATCAGTGAATATTAAAATAAAAGTAATAAGCCCTAAAATTAACTAAATCAATGTAGCTAGGCCCCATTTATAAGCGGTGTGAAAACCTGGGATGCCGCTTCCTCGTAACCAGTTGTCCCATTGATCTGTCCCGCCAAAAAGAGAGATTTAACAAGCCGAGTTTGCAAGTTAAGATCTAATTGACCTATCGGATCTATATAATCGTATTCTACCCCGTAACCCGGCTTGGCAAAGATAACCTTCTCCAAACCAGGGATTTGTTGGAAAACGCGAACTTGGACATCTTCTGGGAGCGTGCAAGACATGCCTAGGAAAGAATTAATAACCAAAATATTAAAAAAAATACTTTTGATATTTACTAGTGAAGATGTGCCGATTTTTAAATATCGTATTAGCCAGATCATTCATTCATTTCTTGTAAAATATAGGCAATCGACTATTTTTAAATTTGCAGATTCGATATTTAAAATTAAAATAGCTGATTAATTTCTGTACCAATATTGAAAGTTATTATATTAGTCAAAAAAATGTATGTCATTAAACCTTGTGGATATATAAGCGGACTATCAAAACCCTCTGGTTCCAGCCAAATAGGGTGAGAAGCCGAATTAAAACGCAAAATTTTAGATTCTATTGATGGGCAATATCTATGGTTTTATTGATAAAAGTTTAAAATAATCCATTATAAGTTAATTTTGTTGTTATTTTATGGACGATTAATAATCTCCTCTAAGATCTTCTTTTTATTAATTCTTTTTCAATTTTTTTTAACTATTATCAAAAACCCAATTTAACTTAAATAATATTAGGCTTGACCTAAAACATCATATTATAAAAAAATTATCGAAAAACACTAAATAAGGCATATATATATATTATAAAAATATGAACAAAACATATTTTTTTAAAAATTTTATAGTTTTAAATACGTTTCTTATAATTTTGAAACAAGTTTTGGAAACAGCCATATATGATTTTGAGGATAAAGAAAGGTTCTCTTTCCTCTAAACTTAATTTTTCTAAAGATTTATCAAATGTTTTATATAATATAAGGTCATGTCCCCAAAACTTTTATAACAAAATATTTCAAAACTTTAATGAAACTAAAAAAAAATACGCTTTATTCCAATCGAAAAAAAATGACCAAAACATAATATTTTATGTAAGTATCAAAAATTTGACAATTTAGATTTTAAAAATTATTTAAATTTTGTAAACCTTTAAAAAAAACAAATTTTGAGAGCAAACCTAGTGGTATTGACAGATCATATTTAAAATGTTATAAGCGGGAAATGATTTAAATTATAAAAAAATTATTGGGACCCGAAAGAAGTCAAAAAAAAAGGAAGAAAAGAAGTTTAAAAGTAATTATCGCGAATTATACCTAGGCCCTTTGGTTTCTTCTCTCACGTGTCTATTTAAATGCATGTTTTGCATTATAATTTCGTGAACTTTTGCGTTCGTCGACGTTAGGTGACATAAAAGTTGATTTTCTGGCTAAAAAAATAAATTGCAAAGATTGGGAATTAAAATATATGTATTCTTTTTTAATACTTTTTTTTGGTTCTTTTTACATAATGATGCAAAATGACTTCATTTTAGGCCGATTTTTAAAACGGCTCAGAAATATATTACGCAAGCCAAAGATTTTGCTCATAGTGGCACAAAGGTTTGGACATCTATTAGCGAAATTCTCGAGTCTTAGGCAATATTATTCTGGCTAAAATATGGAGGTTAGTTTTAAAGATCGGCTCAAATAAAGCGATTTTACATCACTACTATTACATAACATACAATTTTTTTTTTAAATGCTCCTATTATTTTTTTTTAAAGATTAATAATTTTAATTAAGGTTTTATCCTTATCGCTAATTCAAATTCGAAGTATTAAAATCGAAAGATGAAAAAAAAACGCTTTCAGGCAGTGTCCTGGTTCGTCTTATTTTTGAAGCTTTTTCTGTTCAGACCAGGTTAAACAGATTTTAACCTATACCACCACTATTTTTGGTTGTTTTTTTTTCGGTACAGATTAACATATTATTTTCGCTGATTTACCGTTTACCTATATTCTTTTTAGGCTATTTAGAGGAAGCTATATAAATAAATAGCTAAACAAACGAATGTTTAGAAATAAATAGATAAGTGTTTAAAAATAATTTTTTTAGAAATAAACAGCTGATTGGTTAGAAATAAACAGATGATTGTTTAAAAATATTATAGATCAGGAAACGGCCTCATAGTTTATTTTTACTTCTAAAAATTCTATGGTTAAAAAAATGAAAAACATCTTCCTGAATTTATAGTTAGCGTGAATTCGCGGCAAATTATCAAAATATGCTTTATTTTTGCATACTTCACCTCGAATTCGCCCTAACTGTGAATGCTGAGTTAGACAGATGTACCTTAATATTGGAAATAACAACAAAAATCAGACTTGAACATAATCAATATTATTTGATAATACATATTCGAAAATTTTTATATTTTAATTTCAATCACGATGGTAATTTTAAAAATGTTAATATTAATAGGGAAAATAAAAATTCTAAAAGCAACTTTTTGAGTTAATTAAGTCCGAAATTAAAATTAGTAGGGGTACCTGTTTAAAAAACGTGGAGAAAAAAAAGAAATTGGTAAAAAAGGAAAGAAGATTTTTAAAAAAATCTACCTTAATCCACACGTCGGAGTTCATGAAAGAAAAGGGATGAGGAATATTGTCACCCATATTACTTTGAAGTGATGGGTGATCATAATTGATAGATGACTTTAAAAGTCTGGGTGGAGTGCCTGTCTTGAGCCTTCCCAGTTTAAACCCGAGCCTTTTAAACGTGCGTCTCAATTCGCTGGCTGATTCAATATTTTCAGGATTGTGTATTTCGGTATTGTGCCGGTCACTGCTATTTAATCTCCCAGCCGGAAATGTGGTCAAGCCTATGTTTATTTGACCACCTAAAAATGTTCCTTTTCACATGTCCAGTTTAGTAGATAAGAAAAAAAAACAAATATTATATTTATATCTAGACTTTAAAAAAATAATATTATATAGTATTTACGAGGTCTGGGCGGATTCTTAATCCGAACGCCTACCCTGTTTTTTAAATTTTTGACACGCTCGCCTCCCATAATTTTTTTAAAATTTACCCGCCCGCACACCTATTTTAAAAAAAATAAGTACGCTCTGATCATTTAGCCTAAAAAAAATATGGCTAATTCGCTTGCCTGTCAGCCATTTTTTAGCCTCCCACTCACCCATCTAATGTTCAAATTTTTTAAGCTCGTCCACTCCCATCTTGTAGTATGGGTGGATGAGCCAAATATCTGCCTGCAGACATCTAGCATCTATTTTTTTCTAATTAATAATGATATCTCGCGTCCTAACTAGACTGTTACTAATTTAGACATTAATATTATTAAACGTGCATGCCCAAGTTACACGAATAAAATTAGTAACTTATTTGCGCGACCTAAATTTCAGAATCGCATGTATTTTATACACCATATGGAGAAGAATTCCACTGACTGAGAGGACGCCCGTTAACATTTTTCATCATTAAACTGGAAGGATGTTTTATCATAAGACTTGCAAGCAAATCAGGCATAATGACCTTCATAAGGTAAAAGCTGCGCTCACATTTAGCAGCAGTAATATATGGTAATACAATTTTTAAAATCTTTCAAATCACGGAGGCATATAATATTCTTTCATCCCATTTATGGCGAGATCTACATCGAGCTTAAGTAGGAAACAAATTTGATTAATTTGCTCTTCCCTATAATGAAGAGGGTTTGCAAGCCTGTTATCTATTTCTAAATATTCCATACTAGATAAGATAGCTAAAATCGTATAATTTAATTTAGTTTCTTTAATTACTAAAATTATCGGGAATTAGCCTCCATTAACTTATATTTTGCATATTGTCTATTAAGGTAGTAATGAATTTATTTTCGTTAATACCAAAGAACCTTTTATTTTCTATTAGCTTTTTGGGATATTTTAATATGTTCTCCTTTAGAAATCGAGAATTAGATTATTCAATCCCCACTTATTGTAATTTTACAGGAAAGCAATTTTATAAATATTTTGGTTTATGTAAATAGAACTATAATTATAAAATATCGATTAATGTAAAAGTCATTTTTGACAAAAAAAATGGAAATAACCTAATTCTTAGCAACAAAATATTCCTACCAGGCATATCCATAAACGATTTTAGAACATGAATCGTTCGTTTATTGATTTTTCAGCGTTAGGTAAACTGATTGTTCTTTTCTGAAGCTTTAAAGATATATTGTATAATTCATATAAAACATCATACATCAAGGCGAGATCTGATAAGAATTCTCCGCTTTCTACTTTACACTGTTGCTAAAATATTCTGAATTTATGATACAGCGTCTCAGTTATTCCAAACTGCCTTAACAGCATGAAGAGTGATAAAACCATCGTATATCAAGTACCCTTCCAATTTTCATAAACTGAATGCCCAATTCACATACTACTTGATCCTAAGCTTTTTGATTTATGTTAGACTGGCTATATAAACTATATATTGCGTCAATAAAGGCTTTGAAGTAATAAATGTTTTTATCACTTTTTATTACATATGACTTCTAAACGGTGATTTAAACAATGACAGGATATGATCGCTGGACAAAGTGAAGTGTGCAGTGGCGTAGCTACGGGGGTAGTTTTCGGGTTTGGACCCCTCCCAGAGCAAATTTTTTTTATAGATTATACGTTCAAAAGACTTAAAAGTGACTTTGTATCAAATAAATACCATTAATATTTATATTTTTCTGGTTTTGATGTTTGTGAAAGGATATTATATTACTAATGAATTTATTCTGGGTAGTATTATTATAAAGTCATTGAGAATAATCTACTAAATTATAATAACATTATCTACTAATATTATAATAACATTATCTACTAAATTATAATAACATTATCTACTAAATTATAATAACATTATCTACTAAATTATAATAACATTATTCATGCATTTAAAAATATTTATATATATTGTCGAAGATGTGGTTATGAGATAAACCCGGCCGAAGGCTGGGCAAAAGGGCCGAAGGCCCGTTAAAGGGGGTCTGGGGGCAGGGGGTCTGGGGGCGAAGCCCCCAGGATTTTATATGTATGGACCCCCTCTAAGGAAAATTCTTAGCTACGCCACTGGAAGTGTGCAAAGATTTTGTTACATCAAATTTATTCCCAGTCGTGACACTGGTGCAATGCTAACAAAAAATCCAATTTTTTGCCAAAAATTTTCAAAAAATGCAGCGGATATAAGAGGATCCAGTAAGGGCTTCCAGTTCAGTCTAGTCTAGAAGTTTAAAAATATGTTCAGTATAAGTGGGCACCTAGGATTTGACATAAATAACCAAGGCAGGTTTATTTGACAAAGTAGTAGATTCATCTATCAGGATAGTAATTTTCAATTGTAAATTGTAATATTATTTATAATTTTTATTTGCATTTCAATGGCTCCACAAATGGGCGATTTGAATTTGCAAGAGATTATGCTTGTAATATTTTTAGTCGTTATTTAAATGTGCACATGGCTAGCCAAAAATAGATACAATGATATTCCTCTATTTCCATTAGATATTCTTTTTTAAGAAACAATTAAAATAGGGAAAGGTTTGTTTTTGAAATAAAAATGTACAATTCATTAATATACTACCATTCTGTAAAATATTTGTTTATTTCATAATAAAAAATATTAATATTATGCTAATATACAATTATAAAAAAAATTCAATTTTAAAAATTCAGTCCCTACCTGAAATTTTTTATGTATATCCTTGATTCATTCTCTATTAATTTGATTCTTTTATAATAAGGTTAAGCAACTTAAAAATTTTAGAGAATTCAGAATAAACACAAATAATTTTTTTAAATTAAAATCTGAAATTCATCTAAAATGGTTAGGCAAATGAATTAATCAGTTCAGTAAATGGGTAACTAATAAGCTAGGACAAGAAATTACTAAATAAAACAACACACAATTTTTATTTATTTTAAACCTGTAGTAATTATAACAGCTTTACTATTTATAATTTGATGATTTGATAATATTACACCTTCACATATCTTTTCAGTTTCATTTTCATTGATCAATAAATCTTCAACACTTTCTTCTAAAATGCTTATATTGGGAGTTTTATTAAATAACTCATTTTGCATATGCATTTTATAAAGTTTTCTATCTATTTGTGCTCTGAGACCCTTTAAAATTAAAAAATATATGTATAATATGAATATCAAATACCCAAACTGCTGGACCTTTATTTGTATTGAGAACTTTATATTGAACACCTGATTTATCACATATATGAGAACAAAGTCCACCTAAAGCATCAATTTCTCTCATTAATTGACCTTTACCAATACCCCCAAACGAAGGGTTACAGGACATTTCTCCTGGTAAAATTTTAATTTATTATATATAATTAAGATATAAAATTTTACCTATTGTTTTAATTTTTTGGGTTATTAGTAAAGTTTTGGATCCCATCCTAGCTGTAGCACTGGCCGCCTCGCATCCAGCATGTCCTCCACCGACTATTATAACGTCATAATAATTTTGAAAATGGAAGGTATGTGTTTTGCAAAACCTTTTTGGTTTTTTATACAGATGAAAAAAATGTTTTTTTAATAACATATGGTAGGATGGATGGTTGTTGAGATTATTTAAATGTTATGCAAAAGGTAAACAGGATAAATTTCGAAAATCTTCACAAACTTCATCGTCAAAAATGGAAATCAAGCTTAAATGTTGTATCTGTTGATATATAATTGATATTTATGGACATTTTAATAATTGATTTTCGCATAAAAAAAGATGGAAAACAATATTATTCTCTTGTTCTTTTAGATTTTATCAGGTGATGTTTGGTATACAATAAAAATAGTTTATAGAGTTTCGGAGTGGTATTACATTATACTTATATATATTTAATTTTAAATGCAATCATTACATATTTTATGTTTTTAGGAAAAAAAAGTATTTTAATTTTTCTTAATAAAAGAATTTGTTTGCATTTATGATTTGTCTATTTTTTGAGATTTGGAATATATCTCAGCTAAATATTTTAATTTGTTTCTATAATTTATGTAATTATAAAAATATATGTAACATTTACATAATATTTTTAATAAAATTATTTATTTATATATTATTTATAATTTTTATATAATTAAGATTTATAAACTTAAAATATTAATTATTCCTAAGAGTTTAAATTTAGGGATTAATATTAATTATTTATAAATTTTAGATTTAGCAATATTTATAATTATTTAAAACTGATTTAGGAATATGGATAAGTAAATTAATATGATTTTTCTACAATATGAATAATTAGAAAAATTTATATAATATTTCTAAAATTTTATTTATAAATTTATTTAATTATATTTTATTAAAATTAAAATTAGCATTTAAGAATAATCATAATTTTCTTAAGTAAATTTAGGAATATAAATAATATTTTTTAATAGTTTAAATTTAAAAATAATTATTTATTAATTTCATAATATAAAACCAGATACATATAAGCATAGTGCATGGAATTAGACAAAAGCTCATATTATTGAGAAATATTAAGCACATATTTGGTTCATATAATTTATAAAAAATTTTTAACTGTTTACGATTCAAAATTATTTTTTCCAGATATTTTTAATTCAATCATTTAAACAAAGGTAATCTTATATATTTTTAATACAATCTAAAGAATTCACACAAACTGAAGTAATTTATATATATTCTCATGAATAAAATTTTTATATTATAGGAACTAAATAAAACTGGGTCTGATAGAGGAGTATAATATTGTAGCCCAAAATAAAATGCAGGAATAATTCTAAGAACATCTAATATTAGTTCAGAAAATGTGAGAAACATTGTTCATGAGAAGCAACAAGTTTTTCATTTATCAAATATAGTCGGAAAGGTTTTGTTGAATTTTGACCGACGGGTCCCACCGTCAGAGTGGGGAGAACACTATCCGTGTTCGGGGGTTCGGGATGGTCGATGATGGGATCCTGGGGATCGTGTTAGGATAAAGTTTTAGTCAAGGTATCACGCGGACAACGTAGTGTAATTAAGGTAAAACAAATTTATTTTAATAGTTACAAAAAAAGAAATTAAAAAAATCATTCATAAAATAAAATCATTCATAAAAAAAAATCACCTAACAAATTTCATTTTTCGTGGTCTTTATATAGATAAATTAAATAATAATAAAAAAGAATGTTAATAAATCCAGGCCCATCTCGAAAACTGGCTAGAACCAGTTTTGAGGATAAAATCAAAACAAGCTTGGTATACGTGAACAAAGAAAAAAAGATATACATGATAATGAGAAAAACACATCACTTCTAATTGAACAAAGAAAACAAAAATATAAATGATAATATAAAAACATATCACTAGAACAAAGACATAATAACTATTATAAACTAGTTAAGAACACAACAAGTTTAAAAAGTAATAATATATATTTATTTCTTATCAATCTTACAAAATAATATTTTTAAAAATCAGATATTGGATAATAAATAGCTCATCAAATCTAGTAGAATGAAATGAATATCATATCATATCTTATATAAAATTTATTTTTAAAATAGATTTTCCTTGTAGTCCCACCTCGGTTTTTATATAATATAATATTGTTTTATTTTATTTTATATTTGATGTGAGAAAACTATATATTGAATAAAAAATTTAGAAGTTTTTTTTTGTATATGCTATCAAACCCAAAAGAGTGAATAGCTACCAGCACGGGGTTTGATAGACAAGAATAATCTATCCACATGATATGGTTTTGGAGATGGAGGAAAGTAAGAGAATGATGGCCGGGGATTATGGTATTGCGTAAGGATGTTTAGATTGGATGTTTATGTTCATATTATTATAATATTGTCGGGTTCATTATGATTAATATAATACGTATAAATGGTTTATTTAATCGCATGAATATAGTCCAAGTTATATATATCTCTACTATTATGGGATTAATCTGATTCAATGATATATATTAGTGAATCGTGTAGAAGTAAGAATTATTTTTTATATATGATTTTATTAAATACAATATGAATATATTTAATATTTTATGAAATTATATTTGATATAAAGATATAATTGTGATTCAGAATTTAGCTATTGAGAAAATTATGGAATATTGTAATGAATGAATTATGATTATGTAATGGTTTAGATATTTAATGAAATATTATAATTGCAGACAAAGAAAAATTGGGTGATGAATTAATTGGAAAAGGGAAGAAAATATGAACATAAGATATAGTTAATTTGGTACAAATGAAAACTGAATTGAATAATTATTGTAATTTGGGAAATGATTTGGGATTTTATTGATTATGAAAAATATTTATCCAATATGTAGAGTTATCTGGCATGAACAAAGTGGTAAATGGATTCAAATATGATTTTGAGTTGATTATAAATAATTTATTATAATTGAGGATTTTGTTGAAATAGTGATGATAAATAAATTAATTTGGGGAAATTGATGACTCAGTTAAAATGGAACATTATGGGAAATAATAATGTAAAAACATGGTTACTAATAATACATAGTGTTGTTAAACGGCTAAGTCGAGTCGACAGCCTAAAATCTAGTCAAGTTTTGAGTCGCAAAACTCATTTCAATTTGAGCGGCTCAATGAGCCGCATGAGTCGGCTCGATGAGTCGGCCTTAAGTAAACAACTTTAATGAGTCGACTCATGCGGCTCATTGAGCCGCTCAATTTGAAATGAGTTTTGCGACTCCGACTTGAGTTCAGAGTCGTAAAAACTCGACTATTTAACAACACTAATCATACATTGACATTTACATGGTAATTTAGATTATGATTATGGATCTTAGGTAATTTGGATATTGGGAAAAAGCTTACTGACAAAAGAACCTAGTTAAATTGGACATTGGGAAAATGGTTACTGATGAGAGAACCTGGCTAATCTAAGAATCAGGCTAATTTAGACATTTGGAAAATGGTTATTGATAGAAAAACTTAGCTAATTAAACGTAATTATAATAATTACGATGGGAATCAGTGCTAACCAGATTTGTTAATCGCTACTTTTAAAAGTAGCGCACTACCGCTATTGCTATTTGTCAAAAAAATTAGCGCGCTATTAGCTATTATATTTAAAGCTACTTTTTATAAAAAAAATTTAAAAACAATTTTTTATTTATTTTGCATATAATGTAATTGTATAGTAAATAATATATAAAAATCAACATTTATAAATATTAAAATAGAGTTAATTTTGATTATAAAAAAATTTATGTAATAAATTTTATATATTTATAGTAATTTGGAATTTTAATAATAAAATCATTTCAATATTATCATCCCCAAGTTTAAAGCAACGATCAGAAAGTATCAGTTTTGCATTACTAAATAATCTTCACCTTCAGCATTATCCTCACCAAATATTCTATATTAATATTAAATAGAATAAATTATTCATCCCATTTTTAATAGAAATGTGTAGTGATATTTATCAAAAATGGAGTGGTAAAATCATTAGGTTGCTATTCTAAATTTTAAACCTCAAGAATTATGATGTAACTAAGTATAAATATTTTATCAAATGAATACATTGAATTCCCTGTACTGTATATAAATTGTTGGATATTAATCAATAAGAAATAAATATAGTAAAAAATCTACTCATACATGAAATATTCAATAACTATATCATATTAAATGTTAAGCTCAATGACACTGTGCAATATAAACCAATAAAATAATCCATCTCTGTTGTAAATTTTATTATTTAAATTTATAATACAAATTGAAAATATTAATTACAAATTGAAAATATATTTCAATTTCAAAATTAATTAATAAATCATAAAATTATAATTAATTATGGTATTATATTTAAATTTTCATGCTTATACTTACATTCATTATATTTTTTAAAAGTAGCGCGCTAAAAAATTAAATAATTTTAAAAAAAGTAGCCCCTATTAGCTATACCCAGAGTTGGGCAGTACCGCGAATACTTATATCTAAGATACAAGATACAAGATCCTTTTGTATCTTGTACTCAGTATCTTATTGACATTTATAATAAGATACTAGTATCTGTATCTAAGATCCTTTATTTTGAAAAGAATCTTGTATCTTTTTTATTTTCTTTAAAAAGATACAGATACAGATTCTTTTTAATATTCATATTTAAAACATTTACATATCACACAATCTAACTTTATTTTCTTCGTGAAATTTTGTATTATTTTCTTTATTTTTTCCTGCTATATTTTAAATATATTGATAACCAAAATTAGTTGGAAATTTTACAGATCACAAAGATAGAAAGATTAAAAATAACAACACCAAAACTAAATAAGTAAAGGTTATATTTTATATGAAATATTTTTTAATCTGTAGAATGTTTAACATTTATAGTAGTGAATTATGGAGATAGGTTCTCCTGAATCAAATCCAAATCTTTAAATTCTAGATAGAAAATTTTATAAATTAATTCATGTGAAAAAGGACAAGGTACAAGCCGAATGTCAAAATTGCACAAGTAAAAAAGTTATTAAAGGTTGAACAAACTCCTCTACAAACTTTGTTAAACATATTAAAGTATATTATACATTTTTATTTTATAATTATTAACATAATAATACCTATACTTAAGTC